CCACCCCCACCACCACCAATTTAATATTATCATTATATTATTTATAATTTAAGCAAAAAGTATGAAAATGTAAAAAATGGGGTATTTTGATCGTCTATAGTTATTTCATTCAAATTTTGAGGCTACATTCTACCAAACAAAGATGGAGATTTCAATTATTTTAAGAGATTCCATTTAAGTTCCTACCAACCAAACGTGTAGTTAAATTTCATTTCAATTCCTTCAAAGTCAAATTCCTTTGATAGATTCCAATTCCACAAAATTCCATTTTGTGAGCCAAACGCCCCCTAAGGTGGAGTTTGGTTCCTTGGAAACTGATGGAATTGAAATGTCAATTTGATTCATGTGTTTGGTTCATTTATGAGTTTTAGTATGGAATTCCAATTCCACATATGATATAGAATTCCAATTCCATTCATCCGGTCTTTTGAGAAAGACTATGCCCTTATATTTACTCTAAGCAATTCCATCCAACCATAACGATCGTCAGCACGGCCCACCATCACCTGCTACGACTATCGCCTCCATCAACATCGCCATCACCTCTACCATCATCGCCGCCACCAACACCATTGATGTTGCCACCATCATCGCCACTGCCACCGACTCCACCACCATCGTCTCTATCGCAACCACCACCGTCTCTATCGCAACCACCACCGTCTCAGCTATTGTTGTTCCCGCCACCACAGCCACAATTTAATATTGTTATTAATTTTATCATTATATAGTACTTATAAATTAAGAAATAAAATTATTAAGTATCATGAAGGGGTGTTACATAATTTATCATTATTTTATTATAATTGGAAGTTATATTTGGTGAACCAAACAAACATATTCCATTTTTTCAGATTTCAATTCCTTTGATAAATTACGATTCCAACACATTCCATTATGTGAACCAAACGCCACCTAAGTTTATGACACATCAATATGCACACGCACAAACCAAGCCTAATTACTTCTTTTATATACATAACTTATAAATTGTATTCAATTGCTTGAACCAACCATTCCATTGTACGACACTCTCAACGTCAATCCATTACTAGTAGTGGATTGCTCTAACGTCACCCGCGGTTTTTTCACCCACTTATGAGGTTTACCGCTTCATCGATCGTAATGTGCTATTTACTTTATCATCCATAGTTGTTAACCGCTTACTTAATTATCTAATCGTTAGGATTTAAATCAAAACTCTTTGCCAAGCGAGTTTCAGCCAAATCACTTGTCATAGAGAGAATGTGTGAGGAAGGGGGAGGTGTTGAGGTAAGAGTGCATGAGGGAGCAGAGGTAGTGTATTTAAAGTTTCATTTATTAACAATATGTACGGCTGTAAACGAACCGAATATTCAGCGAACCGTTCATGAATCGTTCGGCAGGAAGTTCGTTTATGTTCGTTTATTTAATAAATGAATGAACATGGACAAATTTTTTGTTCGTTTAGTTAAACGAACGAACATGAACAAGAGTCTCGTTCGTTCATCTATGTTCGTGAAGGTTCGTTCATCTATGTTCGTGAAGGTTCGTTCATTTACCGTTCGTTTATATATTAAATTTAATATATAATCTTTTCTTTATTTACTTTGAATTTAAATAATATTTATTTATGTTCATTTAACCTGTTCGTTTAGCCCGTTCGTTTATGTTCGTTTATGTTCGTCTGTTTACATTCGTTTAGCATGTTAACAAACAAACATAAACGACCAAAGGGCCTTTGGCCTAACGATATCGTAGCCCTTGGCCTTCTAGGAGGTCAGGTGTTCAAACCTCACCATAGGTGAGGAGGGTGTGTGAGTTTATTTGTTGCATTTTCCGTATATAAATATTATATACTTAAAAAAAAAACATAAACGAACACGAACACACCTTATTTCTAAACGAACGAACACGAACACAAAGATTTTCGTTCGTGTTCGTACGTTTGTTCGGTTAAGTTAAACGAACGAACATGAACAAGCCTCCGTTCGTGTTCGTTCGGTTCGTTCACAGCCCTAACAATATGATAAAAATAGCATCAACTGCGTTCAATACTCAGCACACCCCCTCAAGTGTGCCTCATCCATGTAAGATATATGGCTCTATGGCCATTACAAACGCACAACCTTAGAATCAGTTTTCGACCACCTAGCTTCAACTGTTTTTAGGACGATGCAAGGATTTGTCCCAAAGATTCTTTGGAGAGGTTTGAAAAAAGAATAATTTTTGAAGTTTGTACATGGGTTTTATTTGACATTTCAAACTTGTCAAATGTGTTGAACTAGAGGTATGCAATTCTATTCAAATAATCAAAATAAAAAATAAAAAAAAAGTAGCGTGCTTTGCTTTAAGCTTTAAAAAAGAACCATTGTAGCTACAAAAATATTAGAAAACCTTATTTTTGGTATCTAGAGCCTCTGGAATATAATAATTTGTTGCAAATGTAAAGTGAAATACATTGATTACAAATATTCTTCGAGATATGGTCTTACGAATTTTTGTTGAAAGCTAAAATTAAATGCAATAGTTAGAAATGATTCTTAATTAGGGTGAATATGGTACCGATACCATATTTCCCCCCTATAACGTGTACCAACCAATTTGATACGGATAATCCTATATCAAGTGTCAACCAACTATATTTGTAACCAAGTTTTTTTGCTTGGTACATGTTGATGTTGGTATTGATTTTGTATCAACATCGCAAAAGTTGAAATTAAGTTGCAATGTTCAATAGTTAAAATTACAATATTAATAGTTAATATTTCAAAAACTAAGCATTCAAATAAGGGTGTGTTTCTTTGGGATTTTCACAAACCTAAAAATATTCAATAGTTGATTAGACTAATTATTAAATTATTGATTAATAACTATGAAATATATAAATAAATTAATTAAATTACTTAAGATTGTTTGATACGGTGCTACCGTGTTATAGTTTACATACTTGATGTGATAGTATCAACCGACTTAATGAATTAATTAAATTATTAAATACTTGGTTGTTTGTTGGTTTTGATTTTGTACTAATTTTACACTCCTATTCTTGATTTGCTTTTCACATTCATACACAATTTTAATAAAGAAGAGCTAGAGACTAACCATGTAAGTAATAATCAACCTGATCTATATCCCAACATCAGTCTTGATGTCAACTAACAAGGGAGATCAATTTATTATGGAAGTAAAAGAACCTTTAATCATTAATCCAAAAAATATATTATTCTACGGGATGATTCTCAAATTGCTGATGACAAATACCTCAAAACCAATGAACCAAAATAGCAAGTTTCACAATAAACATTTAAGAAATTGTGTAATTACAACAGTCATGACAACAAGTAATTTCCCACCAGAAAGTAAATAAAACAAAAACAAAAGAAAGCTAGAATAGTAGCATGGCATGGTTTGGAAACCAGAAAAGTCAAAAATCTGTTTTTATATCAGAATCAAATTAAATCATGTATAAAATAATTTGTAGTAATTTAATGTGAATGAAGAAGAAATTGTTAGGCAAGGCTCCATTTAGCTCACTCATTTTTACATTCCAAACTACTAATGCCACCACCAAGGACAACTGACTACGACTCGATTGAGTGGAACTGCCTAGAAGGCAATTACAGTATAATAAGCCTACCTACAAACGAGCACGTTGCACATGAAATCACTAATTAATGCCCTAGAAATCTCCATGTATAGCAGTGATACCGTACAGTTTATATATATATAGATATATACACCTAGAGGTTATGCTCCGTACAGAACAGTACACACAGACGTATAGAGAAAGATACAAATAGATAGGAACAGATCTTTTGAAGAAATATATCGAAAATCATGTTGATTCGATAATATATAGAAATATGATAAGACGCAACTGTTGGTACCGCCGCTGCAAGAGGTTGCTGCCGGCGGAGAAAACAACAACGACGAATTCGCATAACAAGGAAAGCTGCCGCGCATTCTTAATAACAATCCTTTCGAAAAACGACACTAACCTGCTATTCTTATCTTCAATCTGCTTGATTTCGAGCTTCCAATCCAGTAATCCACTCCATTGTTTCTCTCTGCGGGAGAATATTGTAGATCTATAACTTTTCAGCTTCTGAAGGAAGGAAGGAAGGAAGCATGACCTGTTTCGTGTTGGGAGTGAAGGAAGGAGCATGAGCTGTAATTCTTTGCAGTAAAGTAGAAAAGAAAATTGATGACGATGATAATACTTATCCACGAAGCATCCGCTAAAACCAACAACAAAATTGGAATTCTAATTAATATATACTAGAAGTATACTTAGACGATGCATTGAGATATATCTTTATTTTTAATGTTTTATTTTATTATTTATTTTTGTTGATGTTATAATATAATTTTATGTGTTTTTAAGAAAACAATAATAATTTTATTTTTAAATAAAATATAAATTTGAAGACATCATAAAAACTTGAAAAAAATATATCAATGTTAATATAAAATCAACTAT